GAAGATCACTACCTAAAGCGCCAATGCTGTAATGATTGCAAGTGTTTCAAAGGAAGGGCTCCAGTTAACAAAAGGTGCGAATATAAAAATGATTATTTTGTTCCGTTTTTCTCGCACGTGCTTTACGAAATGCACACGCGCCTTTTTGCTAAGGCACAATAAATATGGTGGGTGCAACCGTAACGATTATAATCTGCTCCATGGCCACCAAAATGTCTGCGTAAGTGAACGCTGCATGAGTCCTTTGAGGTTGTTAACAATGCAATTTTTTATTTATTCGTTATCGCGTACCTATTTCTTTAATTGATTCTCTGTGTACGTGACGCTTGCTCTGACTCTTGATTCCATTTTAATTCTTTGTGTTATTCACCTTTGATAGATTCCTTGAACATACGTATTTTCTAGTCTTTACGGATCTTGGTGAAAAGGTAGTTGAGGAGGGGCCAGCGCCTTTCTGACTCCACGTTTCTGGCACCAGGCGGCAGAGTAGATAGAGACCGCGCTGGAGCGCAAAGACGCTTTCCAGCCTCGAAGACCTCTTAATAGTGCTAGGGAATCATGGTAAACCTGGAGAATGCATTTTTTCGACTGAGACTCAGGAAAGGACGATCTCTAGGATGAATAAAGTACTAGCGGCGTGGAGGAAGCTGCAATGAAGTAGTACAGTGCAGAATTGCTTCGAATCAAGCGCTTTCGCTACAACACGTCGATACCGCGCTGTGGACTTTTAACTGCGCGGATTTATTGGGTTTGATTATATACCAGAACCTTATAATTGAAATCCATTCTGAGCCGACGGCTGATCGACTCTTAATTTTTCGAAGATTCACCTTAACTTCTACCTGGCTTGAGCTGGTATCCAAATCGGGGGTTGGCAAATGTTGGCGGATTATGCTCTACTGTGGAAAGAACGAACACGTCCGAACTGCGAGGATCTATGCAGGTTCACGAAACAGCGGAAGACGAATGAGCAATCTGTGCGATGGAAGTGTCGCCAACCAAGGATCCCTCATAAGATTGTAAGGAGATGGCACAACGTCGGATGTTAGTGGAAGAAGCATTATTCAATGGACGCAAGGGTTCTGTGATGTGCTCGTTGAGTACTACATCAACAATCGGCAGAATCAGAATCGGCGGACACAATGCGGTGGTGCAAGTGGACGAAACATGTATCGTTCGGCGAAAACACAACTGGTGTTGCATCGTACGCAAAGACTGGCTCGTCAGGGGTATTGGGATGGGACGAAATTGGTATTCGCAGGAATAATGGGTGATCGCAGCAGTGCAACGCTTGAATCATTCAGAAGCACGTCCTACGTGGATTACGTAAAGACAAGTGGAAAAGTCACANGCCCCAATGATAGGCGCCAAAGCCGTTCAAATCATTACGAACTTCGCCGCGCAATTTGCCGCGCGCATCCTCGGACGCACGTTCGTACACATACCCATTGGGATGGGACGAAATTGGTATTCGCAGGAATAACGGATGATCGCAGCAGTGCAACGCTTGAATCATTCAGAAGCACGTCCTACGTGGATTACGTAAAGACAAGTGGAAAAGTCACAGTAACCTGGTCAGCTTAGGTTACCAGCAGAAACGGTGAATCACCCAGAGAGTTTCGTTGATCCTGACAGTAGAGTGCACACACAGCGCATTGAAAACTTCTGGGGTCACTTGAGAGCGAAGGTCGGTTCGCGTCAAGGACTGAAAGAAGGGTCATGGGACGACCACCTCCTCGAAGTACTTTGTAAATGGCAGTTCAATAGCGACGATCTTCTCTACGAACTTTGGGAGCTGATTGCAGCCAAGTATCCCATCTTTTGGAGACTTCCTGTGAATTGAACAAATATAAGTTGCTCATCAAAGATCTATTCCATTTTAGTTAAATTTTTTGTACAACGTTTACATGTCATGAACTGCGGTGTTCTCTCTTCTTTAGGCTTGGTTAAAGAATGCAGTCACTGGCTCCATTAAGAGGCGTACGAGGCTGGAATCTATCTTCGTGTTCTAGAGTGCCTTTATTCACTCTGCCTCGTGGTGGGAGGGACGCAGAGCACAAAAGGCGTTGCCCTTTCATCCCCACCCCCTCCAACTATATTTTCACCCAGATTTTTTTATTATCTTGACACCTCTACTCATTCTATTTATTGTTTGAATTTTTTAATTTTTCTTATTTCATCGTGTAATTCTCCTTTGATAGGCCTTGGTTGTTCTCACCTATCCCAACTCAATGATGAACCTAAAAGGAAGGTGTAGAACCGAGAGACCTGTGGGCACGAAGATTAAACGAATCGTTCCTGTTTGCTGTGATAATGCAATTCATGAAGTTGTTCTTCCTTCTATTGCGATGGCGCTTTAGAGATCTGTGTTTTATTCAATTACTAGGTCTCAAACGTTCTACACAGTTCGCCCTTGCTGTTGTTCGAGGAAGAGTGCCGACCACAATCCTTGGTGGGCTGTTTGACTCTTTACACGAAAGGGTCCAACTTCTTTGTCTCAGATTGAGAGGGCGGCGTGGTATAGAAACTGGGAGTTGGACGACGATAAGGCCTGAAAAGCTCTACGCGTCTCGAAATAAGTTGAGGAGGTTTGATTTCATCATATCCCTACGGATTCTCTATCCCTTTCGCCTGTGCCACTTTGGTAGTTCTTATATGGGCATTATAATTTTTCTCAGCCTAGAGCTCGCATTCGAGTATAGCTAAGCTCCATATCCGCTCGTATTGTGGTGAAGGGACCATAAATGAAACTAATGGACGGGGGAGAACTATAAATAAATATATCAGAGGTCCTCCATTCCAGCTGCGCTCTTCCTTGGTATGCCGCAGAAAAAACACCAGCTGCACACTCTACATAAAAGCGCCCGAGCCAGACCCTCGACCGTCGCACTGTGCTCCATCTCACTTCGTGATTATGACTTATAATATCTCTCGAGCAAAGCTCCTTTATCGGCTTAATCGCCCAAGTTTGAGATAGTTCTCGCAGAATGGAGTCAAAACGATTCGATTGCTTCATTTGTCTTCGCCCTTCGACCTGTCTTCGTAAAAATTGGGCAAATTCAGTCTACTCGAGCATCTAAGCTTGATCTTTCACACACTGCAGCTGATGGATTCATGGAGCAAGCGAAGCCGTACGAATTCGAGAGCCAATGGGAGCAAGTGCATGCGTGCAACAAATGTTGAAGAACATACTCATCGAAAAAAGGCCTCAAGTTACAAATGAGGTCTAAGCACTCAACTGGTAGAGCACTCGAGGAGGAAGAGGGTCACAGCGTATCACCGCAATGCTGCCTCTGTAAAGGAGTATTCAAAAGTCATGAGCAATTAAGTCAGCACTGTGGAAATGACATCTAAGCGACGGAGCCATGGGTAGACCTCCAGACTACACAGTTCAAAATCTAACTTTTCAGAGCTCTGTCAGGAGGGGAGTCAATGAGTCAGTGTTTTGATCCATCAATAATCCTTTGCAGAATTTGTGCGGGAAAAGAGCGCCGAGCGGAACCAACGCGCCAATAGAGTCCGTTGCCATTTCGCAACGCCGACCGGATCCCCGCCGCTCTTCCCGTAGAAGAAGAAACACTACCAGCAAATTCGCACTGGCGAATCAACGCTCCTAGACCTCCCCTTCATCTACACGCCTTATGTAC